GCAATACAAGATAATTTTAGTGTTCGACATGATCGCCATCTGCCAGCGTTGTTTCAATTCTTTCGCGGATTACACAGTGAAGAAAACTATCACCATACGCAGCCTTATTACTTTTTGCCACCTATATTAGTGCTGCCAATTAATCAGCAACAAAACACTATTATTCAAGAAAGTTACGGCCAAGAAAACTATCAAGAAATAAACAAAAGTTTAATAAAAAACTATGCAAAATTAATTTCCAATGAAAAAATAATTAATATTAATGAAACATTTGATTTTAATAGAACTGTAAATGTCAAGAATTCAAAAGAAAATATAACAAAAGAAGAATCAAAATTGACTCAGATTGATAACGTCACCGAGAGAGTTACAGCAAAAGAAACTACAGTAATGTATGAAAACCTGACAGAGATTTCAACTGAAGCTTTTGGAATTTATCCACCAGCTAAAAATAATAGTAACTTTCTTAATTCTTTGTCATTAACAACTGATAACATTGAAGAACATGGAAATAATATGAATTTTAATTCATTGAAAGAAGGTTCAGATATAAAAAAGTATTTGTTTGACTCAAAAAATATTCAGACTGTAGAAAACCAACTGTTACCTCCTTTGGAAAAACCGCTTCGTACGTTTAAACCTAATGTTAGTATATATGATGACTATCTTACATTGGATGACAACCGACGGCAACAATTTTCGACCCAGAAAAATGAGCTCGCAGTTAAAGGATTTAAACCTCTCGCTGGTTTGTATTATGACGGGTTTTTGCATAAACCGTTGACTAAGAAAAATGGATTTAAGCCTATATGAAGAAAAACATTTTAGGTATTAATATTTTCTTTATCTCTCTACTTTATCATTTCTTTATTTGATATATAAATACAGAATTATACTCCACTAGTAAAAGGAAAAAAAACACCGAGTTAAATAATGTGCGTTTTAAATTAAAATTTTGTATTTTTAACTTTTATCTTTGCAAAATTTTCATTTTAATGATGCCAGTAAAACAACCCTCATAAAAGGGGTTAGAAATTCAGCACGATTGCGCCCATACACGATGGATTAGTTAGTATTCCGGTGAAGACGCTCAAGACATTAACCTTTAAAAAGGGGTCAATGCGTGAAAGTTTTGTCCCCTGATATATTATTCTGGACTTGTTAGGCGGCTCTGTTCTAAGGGAGCTTTTACTTTGAATGTAAATGCTGCTCCTAATTACTGTATCGATGGTTACATTTTTATATTTCTTTTGGACGTAATCGTTTATATCAATTTTGACAGCTATATCTTATTTTTTTTCCAATTATTATTAGCATTATACTTTCTACAGTTTTCAATTTTAATGAATACATTGTTCGCCAAACCACTAAACCTCGAGGATTAAATTAGGAATAAAGTAGGATGAAGGTTTAAACATCCTCGTAAGTCAACTTTGTATAAAGGAAATTACTGTTTTATAACGTATTCAGATTCAGACAGATATAAAATTCAATTTCCCACAGGATATAATGAAAATTATAGCTAGAAATTTGATAATTCTTGACAATAAATGGTAACATTTAAGAAAAGCTTAAACATCGACTTAGCATAGCTTATCTATTATTTTATTAATCTAATTTGTACACAGTATATTAATTCCGCAAAGCATGTAGGTAATTCGACGCCTAATTGCTCAGTCTACCTTCATATCCACCATTTTGAGGTTTCAACACAAAGCCGTATTGACCTGCGAAATACACGAGTGAATTCAATATGTGAAATGAGCCGGCACACTGTTATTGACGTACGCTTGCCATTCAAATTACTATCGCTTGTTATACGAAAATACTTGTTAAAAAGAAAATCCTGAATTCACTCTTCTTTTATTACACACTTTTTATTTGAACAAAAATATTTAATTATCTTCACAATTTACACATATATTGATTTTAACGTTACATTGCTATTTATTTTTAGATGTTTTCTTTGTGAATGTATTATTTATTTCTCATATGCAATTCAAGTACTACTGGGACTTTATGAAATGGAAAACGAATGTATCAATTGTATGTAATGCATTTACATATTCCAGGCTAAAGGTAAAGTTTTCACAAAAATAAATTTTGCATATACGTAAACATGTGTGTACTTTAAAATATACGTAAAGAAAGAAAATGAATATTTTTTGCTGTTGCATTACAAAATAAGTCAATATTGTGTTGTTTTTAAACGAAAGTAGAACTTTTGAGTTCTGTCAAACTTATTTTTTTAATATACCGCAGATAAAAATACGTGCGTGAATTGTAATTGTTTTCCAGTCTAGTAAATAATGTTTATTTATCCTCATTTTTAATTGACGGCATACCGCTGGTTTCAACCCAGAAGTTACAATTACCACAATTTACAGTTCAATTTTCCAACAAAATTGGCTCGTAGGTATAAAGTCGCACAAGCGAACGACTCGTATCGACCTTAATTTTCTCGTGGCTCACATATCGCGTGTGTTAGAACAGAAACACAAGTACTTCACAAAGTTTCACCCCAGGGAGTATGTTATAGTTGATAATCAAAATGAATGTCTTAAAGGAATTACACAATTAGGAGGCATATACTTTGGGGTGAATTCACAAAGTACATTATTAAGAGTTCCTTTGACGTACAATGTACATTTAGAAAATGAACATGACAAATTATTATGCTTTGAGTTAAGGTTACATCGCGTTGAGTGTGAATTATTATTATATGCTTACTAATATTTCCTTTATGGGCATTGTATTTAGTTATTATAATTTTGTTTTTCAATGATGATAATTTGTAGAATTTTTTTTTGTTTCTGATATTAAACCATAACTTTACTAAACATTTTATCAGTACTAAATACTAGTAGATAATAAAAAGGGATCAAGAAATTTGTATTCACGTGACTCAATAGTCATTTTGTTTTATCACAATACTAGCGAGCCTTAAGTCAGAGACTTTCTTTACTTAAAAAGTTGACCGAGTCTCAGATATAGAGGACAATGGATTTAAGACAGATAAGAGTAAGTTTAGAAACGTTACATGCCATAAAAACTTTTGTAACATTCTAAGTCTCAGTATCTGTGAGGTTATTTATGTTTCTTTACGTACTCTGATCCTTTTATTTTTTTACAGATAAGAAAGCTTTGCGCTTAAGCCTCCAATTTCCCATAAGTACGTTCTTTACAAACTAGTCACGTTAATTCTATGTTTACGTGGATTTTTTTTCCTTTTTTTGCTGAATTTCAAATATTCATATAACCTTAAATCAAAAACAAATATGTTTGGATTTTTTTATGTAAAAATATTAGCAGATTTTTTTTGTAAATTAACTAATATTTTTTTTAACCATTCCAACTAAGCTCTAGGCCTGTGCTAAGATATGGTTTACGACAATAGTCGAATGGCGGGATTCGAACCACCGACCTCAGGATCGGAAATCCGTACCCTTAACCATTAGGCTATCGACGCTTACGACGACGACGACGACGAATTGTATCAACAATTCTAATAACTGCTAATACCAAATTAATCATTAACATATAAAAAAAATGATATAAAAAAACTATTCTTAGTGCTCAAATCAATTAAAAAGTAAAAAAAAATCATGAGAACATATTAAGAAAAATTAAAAGCAAAAACAATAAAGAGTGATAAAGTAACCATTTCCTCTTATTTCATTACATTTCAATCTAGTACTTCACTCACGTCAAGAGTCATTAAGCTTTCTCACTCAATTAAACATTCACCTAATTATAGCAAGTTAATGTTGCAATTCTCACCTACTTACATATTTTCATTTCAAGCAATACGATTAAATTATTTTATAAGGAAGGCAATTACAAATTCTATAAAGGTCTTTAAAAATTTTGATAAAATATATACACATAAAAACAAATGACAATATTTTAATAGGTAAAAATAAAAAAGTCAATTAATGTCCTATTTATATTTTTTTTTCAAATCTATTGAATAGCAATTTTTTAGTTGTTAAAAACAATTTTTTACTTATTTAATTTCAAAACGTTTTACATACAATGTTTACAACTTTTTCTCAACACAGTAGACAAAATTAAAAAAAAATCACCAAAATATTAAACGTTATTTTTTTCCATTCAAATCATACCAAATCAGCTTCACCTATTACCGCAGTTTATGTGGGAGGTATAACTTTAGTGGTCCCAAGAAATACATCTCAAGATAAGTGGATCGTCATTAACTATATTGTACCTTGGGATTAATAACTTCGGCGTTACCCTAAATTTCTCTGATATCCGTGTTATCAACGGTATATTGCTTTCTCTTAGTGAAGACGCGAAGAGATCATCGAAATGTGTTATCTTATTAATGTAAATGCGAAAGTTTGGATGGATAGATGAATTAAAAATGACTTAACGGATCTCATAATTTACCAGAGATATAAAACAGTCTTTTTTTTAATTAAACACGGACGAAGTTGCGGGCAAAGGCTTATATAGTATGTGTTATTTGCATAAACCTTGTTTTGGTTAAATAAAATTAATTTCATTAAAATTCTCCTAACTATTTTTTTAAAATTAAATGCAAAATACTAGCAAGGTAACGTAAAAGAATGGAGCATTTACAATTTAATACTGACTGTTTAACCTTGATTTGTGAATAAAGCAAGCCTAAGATTTTCGTTCGCGATTTCGAGAATTTCCATATCTAAATGGAAAAACCGACCCCGCACAATCAATTTATCCTCCAATATCCTCCAGCGGTTTTATACCACCTGTGCAATAAATATTTATACTTTTCCCCTCGATTTGTATCGTTTCGCTTAGTTTTGTCGAATAGAAAATCTACCTAAAATATTTGGAGGTATTCTAAAAATGTAAATTACTTCCAAGTGTACGCCCTACTGTGATTTCCTCTATTAGATTTCAACTACGTTACTCTCAGTTCGAAAAAATAACATATTAAAAGGGGATGTGGATTTGATAGAGAAGGGAACGCATAGGAAAGGGAAAAATTCTCTTACCGTGCGTCTCCTTCAACGTCGAATCGAAGTAGTAGCTCAGATGTCTATGGCCAGCGGCCACATCGCTCTTTCGATGTATTGAAGTGTCCGCGTGCACGTTTACCACTCAAAAATATAAAAACAATCGAAGAAGTAGAAAGATATAATTGCCAATTTTTTGCATTTTTCACAGAATTTATTATTGAAAAGACGTCTTGTCTCGCACGGGTATCTGGGTTTATGATAGCTGCTATATATTATGAATTCGACTAATTATTTTACTTAATTTGGCAAATAGTATAAAGAATTAGAATCAGTCATATTAAGTCATCTTTCGTAATACCGCAGCACATATTCATGAATCATTTCAATCCTACAAATCCAAAGTTATATCCAAAATTTAGAGTCGACGGCTTTAAAGCGTATTTCAAGTAGGAGGCCGCTCTGTAAACACTACCCTTGGACTGAAGTAAATGTTCCATGAAATTACCTCAGCATTTTGCCAGCAATGAAATTCGTTTTCCAGTTTTGAAATTTTCATCGTTTTATCTTTAAATGGATCTAGCCGCATAACTGAGATTCATTTAAATACACATAACATTCAAACTACTTATAAACTTATTTCATTATGTTATCTATAAATAGAATATCCATACCTTTGCATTTATTCACGAACAGTTGAGCAGTACACGTACTCCGATGAATTAAATTTTTGTTTTTCAAAAATTACGATATATATTTCCAATTGAAACATATATTTTACGGTATAAATACACTATAGTTATCTTCACTGACGAACTAGTAACACAATATTAACTTTTCAATTTCGCGGTTAATGTAGGTAGCTCAACAAAATTTTTATACTCCCCGTACAAGCGGGTAGTTAGAAATCCCTCACCGATACTGACGTGCGCGGGGACTGCGGGGACATATGCCCCATTGAGTCGTTAGTAGTTGAAAGTCATTATCGGGAGTCGACGGTAGTGAAGGGAGATCATACATTAGACGTGTCATTTTCCTAGCGTACAGGCTCGTTTAAAAGTTTACGGTTTCTCGGTCGGTTCAACAAGGACGCGTCTATAGCGCGCTTACAATAAGAGCGGTGCAATAAGAGTGCAGAATTGGCGCCTTAAGACTATTTAACAGTTATTTGACTCGACTCGACATCGACTGAGTGAGGCACCTGCAGGCAGGGAACGGGGCATCAAGTTGGTAAGTGCCATTACAACTATTTGCAATATTACGCTAACCCTTGCAACACGTCGTGTAAGGGTGTTTGTGCCGCGGGACCCGAACCCCTCGTGTTCGGCACAATTTGAATTCAACAACAATTGTAACTTTAATATGATGTAAAAACATAAATTTAGTATTTATTTGATTTGAGATTAATATTTCTTAAAGTTTCGTAACATTAAGAAAAAGTTTATTAAGTCGTTAAAAAAATGATAGCTTGTCTACTAACCTTGTCATATATCCAGAGAACTTTTGTCAAGTCATATGTATGTTTTTAAATATAGAAACCGGTATAAACCAATAGGTATTGTTATTTTTACGATGCTGATTATTTTCAACGTATTCTATATTCTAACTAATGTAGTACACTCACTTGCATAAATTAAAATAAAGAATAATTTTATTTGTAATGAGGGAAAGCATCCTTTAATGAAATATTTACATTACAACTGTACTAAAATTATCCAGCATTTTTGCACGTTTATTATAGCTTAATGTCTGTGACATTTCATGAAAAATTAATTCGCTTAACTATTTTCTACTTTAGAATTTAAGTGGAAAAAGAAATATGAAGCAATTTTGATAATGCTCTGATCTCGAGTCACAAGGGAATGAAAAATTCAAGCGGCCGTCGTACTTGTAGCATAACCTATGTCATTTATATTTGTAATGAAACATTTTAACAACCTAGTCTTACTGAAGTGAGCTCGCAGTGTAAGTTTATCCTAACAGTTGGAGCTTGTGTGAAAATGGCTTTATATTATAGTTGTTGCGTGTTGTCTTTGTTGTTGGCGGTAATCTGGTTACCTACTAATTTGTTTGCCCTGTTTTTATTATGTAAAGCAATCCTAGATTACTTTGTATATCAGTACTTTTAGATATCATTAGTTAGAATCATTTAGAGCGAATGGCGCGCTTTCGTTACCAATTCAAGTGTCAGAATGAATAGTGAGAGGACATAAACGTTGATATTTTAATAAGGCTAGTGTTGCTCCGATACACCGGTAGAGCGTCGGATTTTCTTCCAAACAATACTTAAACCAACAAATATTTTTTCTATTACTATATTAAGTAGTGCGTTTCGTTACCAATATACCTCTCTATGAAAATATTGTTATCCTCTTTATTACCTTTTAAGAAACAAAGAAACTGTAAGTTTCGTTTAACTATTTCGGCAAATAAAAGTAACGGTATTCTTAAGCTACATTAGTTATCTAGTATCCATAGTATTAGTCTAGTTTTAGTTGATATACTTTGGTAGTTGAAATTCGTCTCGTCTCAAGAATTAAATGGATACTACGTGCTACGGAATATGAAAATGGCGTATTGATTCATCTCCAAATATAGAACAATGGAAATACTGGGTGGGGCGACTCAAAGGACGCTATGAATTGTAAAATTTAAACTCCGATTCTGAGATCTTGCTAAGCAGAGTGAAAATCAATGTTTTGTAATATTACATCTCTAACAACAGACTCGGCTGAAAACTGTAGTTTAGTATTTAATATTGGATATTTGTAGACAAAAGCTTGGTTATTTTGTTAGATTGCATACTACAACTCATAAACTAGTGAATCAACTTCAAAAATGGTTGCACCAATTAAAAACTATTTATCTTTGAGTAGGATAAGCTTTATCATTCTATAACTAAAATTTAACATAAAGTAAATCTTATGAACACTAATCACTGGTTGAAGTTTAAATCACAGATGATTGGATGTGTTTGGTTTATATTCGTACAACGTACATATATTTTTTAAATAAGTATCCAAAGTGCCTTTACCTTCGTCTCGAGCCTTTTACGTGATGGAGTAGATGTGACGAGAATCGAAAATAGGGTTGAAACGTTTTGTGGTTATTTCGATTGAACCCTCAAAGGGTTACCACCCCTCGAAATTTCAGGACATTCGACAACTAGTTTTCTACTTAACTTTGTAAGCTTTGTCATTTGTTTGTATTTAAAAAGACAAATACGTAAAACAACTATTGAACATTTTTATCAAATTCATACAAATCGAATTTCTTAACTTAAAGGATCAAATGATAAAAAACAAAATAAACTAATCTAAAAACAAACGGAAAAAGTCCCATTCCATAAACCTACCTTTCACTAAACTCCTGAAGAACCCTAAAAAACCCTGAAAAACCCTGCTTCACTAAAACTCCATATCCTTCCTTAGATTACAAGCCGCCTAGAAATATTTACAATACCAAACAAACTCAGACAAGAGAAGACAGGTCATGCCAGCAAGTAAAGGTACATATCACACGAAGTTATTGAGTTTCTTGCGCTCTAAAATTAAATAAGAGTATAGAGGGATACAAAAGCTTAAATATTGAAAGTAATCCGTATACATCGATACAAATATAGATTGGTGTTGACACAGCGATGGCTTGTTATTATTGATGGGTATAATTTATTGCGTCGGCCGCTCGCAGCTCCGGGGGGACGCGACTGGAATCACGACGGTGCTGCCCCAAATTTATGACTCTCGCCCGGCACCTTTGATGAATGTTAATTTTTCAATGCTTTTTTTAGTAACACTAAATTTACAAAACTCTCCCTATCTCTTAGGTAATAAATTATTATAAAACTCAAAGGAAAAATAATAGGCCCTAGAAGATGTCGTAAAAAAGTCTCCAGACAAGAAAATAAATGAAGATCCGTAATAGGTAGTGCTTCCATTGTTAAGTTGTTAATCGTGATAGATCGTGAGCACTTACTTACCCTTTATCTTACTAATATTATATTATAAATGAGAATGTTTAGATGGATGAATGTAAGAAGGTATCTCAAGAACGGTTGCATAGGTCTTGCTGAGATTCGGATAGATGTAGAACATAGTCTGTAAAAACAAATAGATTACTCTGAAAAGTTTTTTATTCCACACGGGCGGAATCGCGGGTCATAGCTATTATAAATTAAATATGAAAAACTTAGGTATGAGAAATGAAAGATAAATTTACACAAAAATCACGAACCCAAAATTTATCTTTCTAAAATTAAAGGCAGTAAACATTTCGACTGTTTAATATATTATTCTGTGCTGAGCAATTGTACGCCCCAGATGTCAATGCCAGTCGTTCCTGCAAGAAACGGACATGCGGGGAGTTTTGTGAACCCAATTTTCTCATTGAATAGATTTCTGGGTAAATAGATAATTTCATGCTGAATTAATTTCCAGATCATTCAGGGTTGTACAATAATTTTTATATACATGTAGTTATTTTTTTAAAGTCCTGTGTTTGTGTGACCTTTAACTGTTATGACAGCATAGCTAATATTTAAAAACTAAGGGACTAACACGAATATTTGCCACATGCGCTTTCGAAACATCAACTAAAAATATGTCAAAATTAGTATGAGATAGTTGATGTACATTACGTACACAAAAAGAAATAATATAAATTTTGTCGATGACGATACGAGAATGTTCTCAGGAATATTCATGCTAGGCCGTCTGACTGTACTTTTGTAGGAAATTCTTTAAAACAATCGTCTGTACTACGCTTTAATGAACAAAAATTATTACGTTTCCAAAAACACGTATATAAACAATGATAACACAAACGACCCAACATCTGTTTATGCTATCTATTAGTTACAATTACGTATAAAATTAAATTGCACACGTACTAAATTAATCCTACCCTTATCAGTGCGCGGTAGTTATTTGAAAGCCGGTGGTTGTCCCAAACTACACACATTAAAGGAAGCTAGTAATTGTTAATCTCACTATTAATATTAAATATAGCTACAATATTACAATATTCTGTATTACTTTGAAGTTATTTTATTTTAATTGCTGTGGAAATTTTGTTACATTTGATACTTTGAAGCTTTATCTTATGTTATAAATAAATAATTATAGATTTATTTGACGTATAAAATGTTAACTTTTGTTTGACTTTATCATAGCAGATTTTATTTTATAATATTATAATATTTTTATCATATGTTAAAAATCCATTATGATGTTTAAAAGTTTTTAAATATCTACACAAAAAAATGTTATAAGACTTTTAATGCAACTGCATACTACAGCATATTACTGTTTATTTTACGTAGTTTCCTTTTGTTACTTAAAAGAAACTGCGCAGTATCGAAATTGTCTATTTTTATTTCAATTAACTCTTTTAGTTTGATGTAACATCGGCGGGTACAATACTGGCTTACGCGGGCTTTCCAACTTTTAATTGAGTTTAGTTGTTGTTTCAATAGAATTTTCTTCCAGTAAAGCTTCAATTTACAGTCGATTCTGTTGAACTAAAAGACTTTTCATAACAAAGACTGACGCACGTGTGTAAAAATAAAACGAAACAGTATTAAAAATTATCTTTTAGTTGCTTTTGAAAATAAAAACTTTACACATTTAGCTAAAACAACGATTAATAGAAGTACATAATTTTTTAACTGTGAAAATGTCCAACAGACGCCCTTGAAATTATATGTACTACTAGTAGTCGCCCGCGGCTTAGTCAGCGTAGTAGTCCCGTAAAAACCGGCCAAGCCGTATCGAACA